ACTAAAGGTTTTTGAGGAAAAATTTATGCCCTTTCACATAAATTGTGAGCCAAAATTGTTTGGTAAACTTTAACTCTTTCTTTGATATAAATTATTGAAAACTGCTAAACTCATTTAGGAGACCCCTGTTCATACATAATAATAGTGCGTTCAGTGCAAATGTACATTTAAAAAATAATTTCAAATATAAATAGGAATTATCCAAGCGATTTGTGGATTAAGTTGAATTTATATAATTAAAGCACTCTTGAGAAATTATTGCATAATAAAAATAAGTCTCTTAAAAATATAATAAATATAAGTAAGATATAAATTAATAGACTAAATATATATTATTTTATGTATGAACCCATGTTTAATATTACTGAGTTTATATTTCAGATTTAAATTATTGCAAATGTGAGAGGATATGGAATGAGCACGTTTCAAATAATCATAATTTATGCATTTAAATGTTACTCTATTTTTGTAGCTAACTATATATATCTTTACTAAAAAAGTATTTAATAAAAAAATTATTTAATAAAAACTGTTTTGCTGCCTTTTTTATGTGCAAAATAATATAGATATTAATACCTTGTACAGTTGTATACCTTTACATGTTCTATGCTGCAAGTAAGTATTATGCTAGTATTTCTATGCTGCAAGTAAGTATGCTGCTAGTACTATGCTGCAATGGCTGTTTAGTGTTACCCACACTTGCAAAAATAGTGTGTGTCCCAAAATTATGCTGCCGATGACATGTACAAATTCTGACCAGGCATATAAATATTCAAACAGAGATTCATTAAAATGCAAATTGAGTTTTATGAATTTTTTATTAAAATGTCGGATGGGACAAGTAAACAGCTCAGGAAAAAAAATCTGTGATATTTAACTAGACCTAAATATTATTAACATGGTGCGCAGCGTTTTAAAAAAGTGCTTAGAGGTGCTCATTTTTGTTTTTTAAAAGCCCTTAAAGATGCTTTTTTCATTGGGTGTTTTCAAAAAGTGCTTAAATTTTCATTTTCGAAATTTCTCTTAAATTTCCCTTCCGTGTCGATTTTCACCACGTATAATGCTAAAGCGTGCTTTTCACATTGTTCTATTCATCGTTGTAACAATTCATTCAATCACAATCCATTTCGGCGTACCATCTGTCCATAGCGTATGAAAGCGCCAATCATTTTACAGGTTTGATGAATTACTTGCGAGTCCGCGTGTGCTTCTACTGAGCTGAGTTTATTGAGATTCTAGCACTCTCATGTGCAACTCTGCTGCATTTTTCAAGATATTCTAAATTTCAGGCTTCATTTTCAACCCTCTGATATCGAATCGAAAAATCTCTCGGTCATTTTATAATGGTTAACATAATCAAGAAAGAGAGTTCTTTGTCAGAAACTAGTTATTTTATCATGATCATGAAAATTAAATTGAATTGAAATTAATTTTAAAATTATTTTGCATTTTGTTGATGTATATAGTGTTTAAAAATATTTTTTGAGTGCTTCAAAGGTGCTTATTTTATGTTGTAAGATTTGGCTACACACCCTGTATTAAAAATGCCCGGTGGCTGACTGAGAGTTCGACCCTCTGGCCGGGCAAGGTTGTCTCAGACTTTCATCCCTTCAATGTGTCGATAAAATGAATACCAAGCACGCTCATGGACTGGGGTGTTCCGCTTTCATCTGACCACCCCAGTGTGTGTATAATTTTTGAATAATATAAGGTACATTCATATGATCAATGTGTAATTGTTTGGGCATGTGAAGGCTTCATTTGGGCAGGTGTTCTACAGACTATTTTGAGATCTTACCTAGACCTGATGCGCATTCTAATATGTGTTTCAAAAGCTGACGTAATTGCGCCCTAATTCTTATAAAGAGTTTCTTTAATGGATATTCTGGTTTCCTCTATTTTGCCGTGCGAAGACAACGTCAGTGTTTCCTGAAAGATTTGCACTTGTGTTGTATTTTCAATTGCACTTCTCACTAAGAATTGTAGCCAGGTAGAACAAAGTGGAGGGGTCCTTTCTTTCCAAGAATAGCAAGGTGAGTAATAAGCGATTTTTTTTTCACCTTTTCAGAGGTCCAACAGATTTTCAGATCCAACAGATTTTCACAAATTATTATTTATTCATTTTTATTGAGTCCTTTAATTAAAAAATTTGTTTAAAATATGTCATTACGGAACAACCAGTATGGATATACAGTCTGCTTCAAAATATCGCGGCCGAAATGAAAGCAAGAAGCAGATATAAATTTTTAATCAAAAATCACAATGGAACATGGGATCGCAATTAGTGGCGTGCAGAAGCTTGCATAAGACTTCTGAAACGAGTGTAACTAACATTGGGGGGAGCAAAATAAGAACACTACTTAATTAACAAAATCAGAAAAATATGTATTTACCAGGATCATTTTTAAAGTAAAAACTGATTGCGCACCCTGTCCACGCATTCTGTCAAGTGACGTCAGTTCCAGGTCGGCCACCGTTGTCAAGTCTCTCACTACGCCGCCATTAAGTTTCTCCCCTTGCCGGTGTGTTGGTTGTATGGTTATACTGCTTCGTTTGTCACTATGTCAATCAGTAATCCCGCTGAGCGTGAAGTGCATTCGGTTTTTAAATGCAAAATAAAAAAGTTAGTCCTGCTGAAATTCACCGGTAGCTTGTTAAAGTTTATGGTGGAGGTGTAATGAATGACTTAAATGACAAATGTTCGCGATGAAAAACAAGCTGGGCGGCCTACTGACCTGAATGGGAAGTACTGGATCATCCACCACACAGCCCTGACTTAGCACCATCGCTCTTTCATCTACTTCCAAAAGTTAAGGAATTTCTTGGTGAAAAGCGCTTGGAAAATGATGGTATGTTGAATGAAACTTACTAATTGGTTGAATTGTTCGGCGGAAGCGTTCTTTAATGATGGCATTCAAAAGATGTTGCCACGACTTGACAAATATTTCAGTGTTACTGGTGACATCTTGAAAACGGAATAAATGTTCAAATTTTAGTTGATACAATTTGCGTTCAAAAATAAAGCTTCTCTTATTCGCGATCGTAACACTCGAATACGCCATCTGGGGAGAGACCGGTTTCATGCCTTTAGCCCTTCTCCCTTCCCTCTCCTCCTCTTTTCAGTTGTATAGGAATGTACTACGATATTTTCCCTTTTCTTAATATTTTTCCTTTTTATTTAATAAGAATATTTTTTAAAATTTCCATAATACTTTTCTTTAGAACTATGTTTAATGTAGTTTTCAGTTCCATGTAGTTTTTCAAAATAAAAGATTTCACTCTATATGAAAATCAAGAGAGAAACTAACGTACTTCCTTCCTCTATGACTTTCCACACGCTAATGGGGAAAGCATGTGAAGTGTTGCCATAGGAAAAGAGTTCTGCTCTACGCCACCTGCAGCCCATTTCGATCGCCAATCTCATTACAAAACGGTTCTTACTTAAAAAAAAATGACCCTCGTATAAGATTCTAAGATCACTTTAAATTCCCTTTTTATGTAAATGCTCATAAAGTCATTCTACAGTTAAAAAAAATAATAATTTCCAACAAAATATTCTTATTTTTTTAAAAAAATATAACAGCATTTTATTTTAATGATTGATGCTTCTTAGTCTTACCACAAGCCAAATGTTAAAAAAAAAAAAAACTAACATAACAGTAATATAGATTTAAAGTGTTATAGTCATTCATTGCTTCTTTTGGCTGCTTTCAACATGGCCCGCTCTCCCTGCATGTGGCAAAAGCTATCAGGATTCGCTTTGTTACAAATTAACGTTTTCTACAACGGCAATAAAGAATACTACATTTTTTCTTTAGAGCTACCTACTAGAGAACCCTGCCTGATGAAAATGCACACCTCAATTATTTCGTGGTTACTTCTAACAGAATTTATCGCCAATCGAAATTCCATCCACTTGTAGACTAGCTAGAGTACTGAAGTTTGAACTGAAGCATTGTGCTGAATATCAATTCAATTGTTTCATAATCGCTACAATTATTATTAAACTGTGAAAGTAAACAAAAATCCTACGCCATTTTTCCGGGTAGTCAGAGCCCTCAAATCTCTACTGGAGATCGGTGCCCGATAAGAATGCACACCTCAATTATTTTGTGGTTACTTCTAACAAAATTTATCGCCAATCAAATTTCCGTCCACTTGTAGACTAGCTAGAGTACTGAAGTTTAAACTGAAGCATTGTGCTGAATATTAATTCAAGATTCAATAGTTTTATAATCGCTGCAATTATTATTAAACTGTAAAAGTGAATTTTTTTGTGACCATTTTTTTTTCTTCTAATTTATCTGAATAAATTAAATAGTAAAAAAAATGAAATACATCGAAAATAATTTTATTTGGTATTTGAAAGTCAAGAAGAAGATCGCTGATGCACAGACACCTGACCTATGCTGGTCAGGTGTCTACTAATACCATCGGCAGCTGGTTGCTTATAAACAAGATAACGTGTCAATATTCTGGATGGTTGACTAAGGCGAAGCTAAGTTTCTCAACATAAGTTAGAATTCTAATTAACGTGAAGTTAATTAAATACAACGATCTATCGCGCATCGAATTAGTTAAATAATTTTTCTTGTCTACATCTTTTATTTTACTTAGTTTTATTTTTTGTTTTAAGCTTGATTATTTTTATATTCTGTTTCTGGCAACTTTTTGGCATAATTAGTTTGCTTGTGTTCGTTATGTTACAGGGCTTCGTGCCTGTATTTGTGTTAAGAAATAAATCAAATCCTTCTTTGTGAAGGAATATGGAATGTGCCACTTAAGAAAATTCTTATTTCATGGGCTAGACTTACTTGAAATAGAATGGAAAGAACAATTGTTGACTTAAACAAATGTCCTGTTTCAACAGCCAATCAGGATCGATGCACACGCTGACTGACGTCATTTGCAAGTATCTAATTTGCGGTACTTCAGGATTAAAAAAAAAGCTGCGGGCTAGGCTTGGTTACGCCTTATAGCTTTCATGCTCTCAGAAGTTCCACTTGAAAAAGAAATTTCAGCTTATAACTCTAAATATTCAAAAAAATTAGAGTTAAGAGAGCTGTAATCAAGAAACATCAGTTACCATTTAACTCTCATCATTCAACATTTTGAAAGGATAAATAAATACTAATGGTGAAATAAAGTATTAGTAAACAACGTAGCTTTAAAAGAAAAATTCGTTAAGATTTTTTATCACGAGAAAATAGCTGAATTTACGGTAAATATTTTTAAAGTCTACTGTTACATTGATTGAAATTTAATCTATATTATTAAAGTTTTCAAATAAATAGTCAAAATTTAGATGACTAATCATACAGAAGGATTTTCATATTAGTTCACTATTTATCATTTAAAGTATTTTTAAAGTTATCCAATATTCGCATTATTATCATTAATTTTACCTACTTTGTAGTTTAAGTTTTAGGAAGGAAAAAAAATAGTAGCTACAAATTATTTTTCATTTATTGTAATGAAAAAAAGTTTTTAATTAGTTAAATTATAATAAGGATTCGAATTATAAGCAACTATACAAGTAGTATCATTCGTACTTTAATTTTAAAAAGTACTTATCTATTTCGCCGGTGCAAGCGATAAAGTTGTCAATAAAAAGTCCTCTTTTTAACCCTCTCTCTTCTCAGTTGTATGGGAATGTATTACTATATATTCTCCTTCCATAATATTTTTCTCATTTATTTGTCAAAAATTTCCACGACGCTTTCTTTAAGAACTATGTTTAGTGCAGTTATCGTTTCCTGACTTAAATTTTTTTGTAATATGTTTGAAAATCATGACGAAACTAAAGTACTTCCTCCTCCTATGACTATTCACACGCTAATGGTGAAAGCATGTAAAATGTTGCCATAGGTAAGGAAATCTGCTTTGCGCCACCTGTAGTACACTGCTATCGCAAATCAATCGATAACTAATTTTTTTAAGATTGTTTTAATATGTCACAATATAGGAAAACACAAGCAAAAGTGCACGCATTTTATATGTTTTGTTCTTAGCATTAATATATACGAGGTATTTGTTGCCCTATCTACAGATTTCAGCTTTTTTTTTTTCCTTTGCTCGTACTGTTTTTGAGATAGAAAACGATAACACTTTTTCACCAAATAAGGAAATGTATTTGATAGAGTATAACAACTTTATTATACAGTATACTTTCGATATCTCAAAGTTAAAGGGACGCTAAAAAATTTTCTAGGTACACTCATTTTATTTTATTTTATAACGGCCGTTGAACAGCCGACCCAATTTTGGGTTTACGACCACTGATGTTCAACCCCGTAGCCTTTTAATTCCGAACGCAATCCAGAAGACAAGGAAACTCTTGGATCGAGTATTATGAGAAATTTTACATTCGTGGAGGACTTCTTGATGGAACTAACCCGCAATTGCGTTACATGGAGAGGGAAACCATGAAAACCACCCACAGTTAGCCTGATGGCAAAGGGACTCTAACCCATGATGTGCCTACCACTGAGGATATTTTTACGTCAGCACTATGGTCGGTGCAAGCCGAGTGCGGAATTCGTATCGACCAGCCGTCGTTGGGATTCGAACCCGTTCACCTCATTGGAAGGCGAATGGTCTATCCCCTGAGCCACCGCGGCTCATTGATATGCGCATTACATAAATGCTGCATGGAAGGTGCACTTTCTCAAACATTGAATATATCCTGCTGCCTCAACCAATTTTCTTCCTGCGATGAAACAGCTGAAAGATGATTTCGTAAATATCTATTGGAGACAAGTCTAGTCACCATGGTGGCTAAGTTAATGGTCCATTTCGAAAGCATTTTCGTCCCCATCTGATTTTTGTTTCCTTTTAGTATATTTGCTTTTACCTTTCATTTTTGTCACGTGATTTTGAAGTAACCTGATAGTGTGATTGCTTAACAAACAAGAAGCATGATCTCTCAAATAAGAGAGGAGGGTAACTAGGTACGAAAATTAGGGGATTATCCATAAACTGAAAAATATTTGATAGACTTTGTATAGAGTTTGTTTTAAGTAACCATAAAACAACCCCTTAGTGGCATCACAATTTGTAAGGGAATTTCGGGCCGCGAAGCTCAAATACTGTTTGAACGTTAGAGTTAGAAGTTAGTCAAAACGCTCTGCAAAATCTCTCTATTTTTCAAAAAAGTTACTTCCGTATGGTGGTATTTTTTTATTATTCCCTTGTGGTGGATTCACTTTTTGCATATTTTGCCCTAGATCTAGAATTATTTAAACGAATAAAACATTTTTTGCACATAGCTTAGAAAAATAAATAATTATTTTTCTAAGATAATTTCAAACAATTGTTCTTTCAAATGTGTAGAAAGTGTTAATAATCTAAGCTTATCTTATTATTTAGTTTAATAATCTGCGAAATTATTTTGAATTCATATTTTAATCACAATTAACTAATTATATTTAATTATTTATAATGTATCTATTTAAAAATAATTAATTAATACCTAAGTATTATAAGCTTAGTTAATTGATAATTATGCTTAGTTAAAAATTGAGAAATTATTTTAAACATAATTAATTGTCCTTAAGCATTAAATATACATTATTTCAAATTAGTAATTTTAAATAAAACATGAATGAAATTGATAGCGCTGTTTATTGAAGAAAAAAAAAATCTAAAAATAAGATTTTTTTCGTAGTTAAATTTTAGAAACTATTACACCGATTTCGTTCTAGTTGCTTATCTTATTTCTCAAAAATTTTCCAAATCGAAATTAAATTATAAAAAATAAAACATGTTTCGAAAAAAATATTAGTTGTACAAGTATCTACCACATTCAAGCATTTGCAAAACCAATTTTATATTTTAAATTTTTTTTTCCTGGTTTGCCTAAATAATCCAAAGATACTCGTATGACTAAAAGTGAAATTAACTATAATGGATCAAAATTTACTCCGTGCTCCATTTTTCTAAATGACATCTTAGAATATTCGATACTTAGATTAAAATTTACTTGAGTGTGTCGCTTTTTTTCTTTCTTTTTTTGTGTTCAATAATTCATACTGTATGACTTACCAATGAAACACAATCTTGATATTCTATTCTTTATTATTCAAATAAAACAATAAAAAAAAATAATTCCTAAATGCATGCTGCGTAAATTTTTTGAAAGTAAACTTTAATTCTAGCATAAAATTACCCTTATATCTTAAATTTACTTAAAAATACTGAAAGTATTACCGCCATTATAAAGCAATATTCATCTATGAACTCTACTTATAATTAAAAATTTGAATAAGAACCATAGTAAAATGAATTCAACTTCGTTGGGATAGAAAAATAAGCTTATGAATTCATGTATGTACACTTGCTATTATACTAATAAGTCAAACACTGCAGGCATAGTTTTTTTTTTTATTTCTATACGTTTTTAATGTAAATATTGTTACTAAGCCAAAATTGTCATCATCAAATATTTTGCTGCCCATAATTTTCTTATTACCCAAATTAAGTGCAAAATTCAATTGCAAAGTGCAATTACCCAAAATTCNTTCATGGTGTTGCATTTTCTACAAACAGCAGTTTAATAAGTCAAACACTGCAGGCATAGTTTTTTTTTTATTTTTATTTCTATACGTTTTTAATGTAAATATTGTTACTAAGCCAAAATTGTCATCATCAAATATTTTGTTGCCCATAATTTTCTTATTACCGAAATTAAGTGCAAAATTCAATTGCAAAATGCAATTACCCAAAATTCAAGTGCAATTATTTCACAGACACACTCACGTTTTTTTTAAAGATTAAACTCAATTTTTATTAAATTACTTATAATTATGATTATTTATTTGTAGATTATTTTGATTGTGGCTTATATAAAAATGGTTCGTATGGTTGGTACTTATCTGTTATTGGGGGCATGAGTAGGTGACTGCTTCTTCGAGATATGACCAACGCTAACATGGAACCAATAAGTTCAAATTTTAATACTGCGATAGATTATCAAAAAATATCGGCAGGGGTCGGTTTTTGCAAAATTGTGAAAAAAACTGTTCGCAATTTGTGAATATAAAATAAGCGTTAAGTCACATTCTTTCAACCAGGGTCCTGCTTTTGTGAATTTGTGCAAATAGAGTCCTGTTATTGCAAAAATTGCTAAAACCCTTTTCAAGAAGTTTTTACATTGTAAATAGATACAAGATTCTGCTCAATAATTGCTGCTACTAAATTAGAAATGCAACATACAAATATTTGGTATACTGCTCAGCACAGAATATTCATTTCGGACGAATAATGGAAACAAAATCAGTCACATTTTTAATAATTTCAAGTGACATATTTTAAATGACACAACTTAAGTAATGTATCACTTTTAATGCGTTACGCATTAAGTGGACTTGAACAATTCTTAAATTTATAATATTTTATTTAAAAAATTGTCAGAAATTAATTTTTATTTACATAATATTCTATTGATTAATTTTATGGATAAATATAAATTGATCAATTATTTATTTACAAAAAACAATTATGATTTAATATTAATAAGAATGTCCACACGAGGTTTTTAAAAGTAGAAATATTATCTTAGAATACAACATTTGGAATTTAAACTTAGAGAAACTTAGTTTGTCTCGAACCGTTTTTCTCCCTCCCGCACCCGAGAAGGGTTTATTCGATTAATAAAACAATAATAAAGATAAACAAGTTTGTGAAGGGTCCGATTAAGAGATACATTATTTTGTGAAGGGTCCGTTAACGAACCCAAATTTCTTATTAACAAATTCCTGATCCGTGTTTAACAATGTATCACGATATACTTCCAATTTAATTTTCTTTCTATGTTGGACAATATATTTGAACCCAAATTAAACTTATCATCTCTCACGATAACATCGTATTCAATAATTTAACCTCATAATATTTTGCGTTATCGTTGTATGTGTATAATATTTTGCGATATTTTTTTTTATAATGTTAACGATACTGATCGTGATATTATCAAATTTGCTAATTGCAGTAATAAATAATAATCACGATATCATATTCGATAAGTACTGTTATCATAAACAATCACGAATTTGCTATATATCTGTGTGTATTATGCAGCCTATGTAAACAAAACAAAAAAATGGCTTGTTCCTATGTGTTGATAAACATGGTTCCATGTTCCTTATAATTGAAAAGTCCCCGTGGCAGAATTTTTTCGAGCTATCTGAGACAGAACCCTTTAGAACTAATGTCTTCTGCAAGATACTTTTGATACAAACATATTTTTTACAAATATATGTTATTGAGCCGCGATGACTCAGGAGAGAGAGCGTTCGCCTTCCAATACGGCGAACCGGGTTCGAATCCCAGTCGATATGAATTCCGCTTCCGGCTTGCACCGACCACAGTGCTGACGTGAAATATCCTTAGTGGTAGAGGGATCATGGGTTAGAGTCCCCTTGCCATCTGGCTTTCCGTGGGAGGTTCTCGATATCTTCCTCTCCATGTAACGCAAATGCGTGTTAGCTTCATCAAAAAGTCCTCCACGAAGGCAAATTTCTCCCAATACTAGATACAGGATTGTCTTTGTTCTGGATTGAGCCGCAAACTCAAATTTAGGTAGGCTGTGATTACCATCCGACGGCTATGAAGTAAAATAACCTGCAATGAGCCGTGGTAGCTCAGGGAATAGAGAGTTAGCCTTACAATGAGGTGAACCGAGAGCGAATCCCAGTGATAGCTGGTTGATACGAATTCCGCAGCCGGCTCGCACCGACCATAATGCTGACGTAAGACAGTGGTAGACGGATCATTGGCTGGAGTCTCCTTGCTGTCAGGCTAACCGTGGGAGGCTTTCTTGGTTTTCCTCCATGTAACGCAAATGCCGGTTATCTTCATCATAAAGTTCTCCATGAAGGCGAATTTCGCCTTATACTCGACCTAGGAGTTACCTTGTCTTCTGAATTGGGTTCAAAATGACAAGGCTACGGAGTTGAGCATTAGTAGTCGTAAACCCATAAAATTGGGTCGGCTGTTCAACGACGGTTATAAAATAAAATACTTGATCAAGGAGTTCCCTTATCTTCTGGATTGGGTTTAAAATTACAAGACTATATATATACGTTATTAATTTAAAAAAAGACAAAAGCGCTGTGTTTATAAAAAAAAACGTAATATATTTTTTTTAATTGAACGTGTAGTATTTTTTTATTCTAAAATTATGGGAGATAATCGTGAATTTTTTGGGGGGGGGAGGATCTCACAAATTACTTCCTTTTTCGCATTTTGTAAATAATCATTACAATGAAAAAAATAATTAAAAATCATGAAATCCGCAGAAATAATTGCCGTAAAAAAATCTACGACGAAATCCTGTAAATAGAATTCCTCAAATTCGTGTTTCGTTTCGAGAGTAGGTTGTTGCAATAAATAATATCGTATAAAAAATATCGGATTTAAAAACTTAATTGGATGGAAAAATCAACAGCAATAACTGCCAAAAATTCGATAGAATTATTGCTTAGAAAAGTAAATACTCAAATGCACGATTCGAATTTTCCATATTGTTTGAAATATATCGGGATATTTAAAAACCACGTAAAAATCAATTTTAATAACTGCCAAAAATACAATTGGAAACATTACATCGATTTACGACTCTATCGGCGTAAATTAAGCGCATCAAAAAGTGATTATCTGAATGCATCATTCAAACATTAAGTGAAAAATTTCTGTTCAAAAGTGTTTTCTACAAGAAAAGAAGAATTTTTTGCTTTTCAAACGAAAATTCTTTCTGCAAGAACTGTGTAACGATCTGCGACAATGTCGACGTGTCTCTGCGATTCTGTAAAGGTGCAGATAAGTACCGAATGTTTTTGTTTTTCTTTTACATTGCATTCGATTTTTATTTATATTTTCCACTTATTATCTTTTTTTTCCATAGTAAGAAAACAAATTCGAGCATGACACCATGTTTAATGGTGTTTTTTCTGTTTCTGATTCTTCGATGCTCTTATAGCAAGCCGTATAGACCTCTTTATTACACGGAAACGTACGGTGCACCTAGGATTAGAATAGTCTATTTATATGATGATGATTATGATGATGATGAAAATTCAACTGCTGCCACAACACTAAAAAACAGACGTAAAACAACCACCATTGTTGGTTCTACAACAACAATTGCAGAACCAATGACAGAGAACCCAACCACAACTGTTGTACCAACTGTTCCCGAATCAACAACAACTGAGCGCATCACAAAAACAACAATTGCAGAATCAACAACAACTGAGCGCATTACAACAACAACAATTGTAGCATCAACAACTACCACAACTGATGTACCGACTGTTGCTAATGTAACAGCACCTGAAAGCTCCACAACTGCGAAATCAACAAAAACAACTCGGTCTACAACAAAAGCGATGAGTTCGACTTCGAAGATTGCTTCTCAAGTAATAGGTAATTCTGATTGACGTATAGTGTTTGCTTACAATAATGAACCATCCGAAAATGGTGTCAAATTTTCTCAATATTTTCGTCCTCTTCCAGCTCTTTGTCCTACTTCCCCATACCCCTAACCCCCTCATCACATGCCACACTAGACTATATAAACGAATGCCTACAGCTCTGAAACAAAACCATGTTTCAAATTTTATTTTTAATTTTAACTAGTCCCACAGTGGACGGATCGTTAAGACGCGGTTCCCAGCAGATAATAGAAATCAAGCATTGCTGGCTGCGGTCAGTGTGCGGGTGGGTGACCACTTGGATCAGTCTGCGTAGGGACCGAAGGTGTGCTGTATCGGTCCTCGTTAAACTGTTCTATCTAAAAGTGCTCGACTTCGCGCAGGTCGTCAAGCTACCAAATCAGGAGAGCCATTCCCTCTGCAGAGGATCAAAATTGCGATGGCATGTCTTCGGATCATCCTCAGTGGTGTTTTCCAGATCGTCTCCTATAGTCCGTTGTGCAGCTCTAGAGCGACGTAAACAAAGTACCTACCTCGTTTTAACCTCATTCTCCTCCTTGTCATAATATCATAAACCCTGCCACTCCTTAACTCATTTATTGACTGCCCCTAAGCAACAGATATAGTAACTGGTGTTAACTGCAAGGGGAAAAAAATATAAAATTGAATCTTGGTTGAACTTTTTGTCTAATAATCTGTTTTTCGTGTACTAAGATGCAAAACCCATATATGCTGGCAAATTAATGTAGACAATACGTACAATTGTATTTTAAGGGCACTATTTCGTTTCGGCGCAACTGCCAAACTGTTAACGACGCTATGTGCATTAATTAATTGTGATAATAGATAGTACTAGTATTCATTTGTAGTAGTACATTCATTAAAATAGGTATTTAATAAAAAATATAGCACCTAAATTTCAAGGCTAAAGAGTGAATAGAAGGGTTAGGTCAATCGTTTGAAGAGACCTCTCCTAGCTTCTGATTGCAATCAGTGACGTCACGGCGGCCAGTGCAAAATAATGTGACAAAAAGAAAGAGATTTTGCTAAATCCTTTAAGTTAGAAATGCTAAAGCATTGAATGAAAACCGTACGGCGGTAATTTACTACGATTTTATTAAACATATGGGAATATATTGCTAACTATTCCAAAGGGTGAACGATTTTCTGAAAGATTCGTCCTAAGATCATTCGAATATCATGCAATATCTGAATGTTATTTTTAGCATATAAAAAAAATTTTGCATTCACAAATTTAAAAAAAAAGACCTTTCTTAGGGCCCACTGCATGTTACATAAACGAAAATGAGACATTAATTTTGACAAGTTGTGGTCATATGAACAAAAATGTTTTAATATGATATATTTGCTCCTGCAATTAAAACTATCATGGTATTATTGATAACATGCTATTAAAAATGAGTTTTCTTTAAAACGATATTTTTTTAACCCTAAAAAAAAGCCACAAATAAAAGTCCACTGAATTAGGCGATTTTGATTGCTTTGTGCACTATTCAGAATGGCACTAAACCTTAAACATGTATAAATTAAAATCTAAAAAATAAAAAAAAACGTCTGTAAATTACTACAATAATATATCCAGGGCTCGTGCTAAGGATTTTAAAATATTAGCCAGTAAATTATCCAAATATCAAAAATATTCGCCCATTTTCGAAAGTTTTCGCCCAATGCAATTGTTAACATTCTTTATGATTAATTTTCTCAACATAGAAAACTATTTTACGGCAGTTTTTTCCAGGCTTATATTATTTGGACTCTAATTGGTTACGTGGTGCTTTAACCGAAAATTACTGTAATCGAAAAATACGAATTCCGCAACCACTGTGCTGACGTGAAATATCCTCAGTGGTAGACGGATTATGGGTTGGAGTTTCCTTGCCGTCACGCTAACCGTGAGAGGTTTTCTTGGTCTTCCTCCCCATGTAACGCAAATGCGGGTTAGCTCCATCAAAAAGTCCTCGGCGAAGGCAAATTTCTCCCAATATTTGATCCAGGAGTTCCCTCGTCTTCTGGATAGAATTCAAAATTACTAGGCTACGGATTTAAACATTAGTAGTCGTAAACCCAAAAATTAAATAGGCTGTTCAACGACGGTTATAAAATAAAATAAAATTGATTTTCGAATCATCGGTCATTTCGAGAACACCTGGTAAAAAAAGTTATGTGTAAACGTTTTAAAAAAAAGTCACTTAAAAGTCATTCACAGCTACATCCTTATTTCGAATTTTTTTCCTCAATCCACATATAATTTGTTCGGGTCTTAATTCAATTGTCTTTTTGTCTCCCCAGACTGCAGCAGTGGTGGAAAAAGTTGCCATGAATGTAGAAAGCTTTCGCCCCACGTAAGACAACAACATTTATATATTTCAATTTTAGAAATACTTAATTGTTTATCTTAGTTGTTAACAACTATAACTACAATGGATCACCATTCATGCGGTAGTCATTTATATTGTCTTCTCAATTGAATCTCAGTCTAAGCAATGTTAAAATAGTTCGCTTTTATATTAGGGAGAGAAAAAACATAAATTATCGCTTATAAGTCTTTTTCTTTTAAATGACGTTTCATTGCAATCCCAATTCATTATCAGTCAATGCAATATTAATATAGTTCATTTTTATATGATTGATGAAGAAAACATAAATTATCGCTTATACGTCTTTTTCATTTAAACGATGTTGCATTGCAATTACAGCTCATTCTCAGTCTATGCAATGTTAATATAGTTCGTTTTTATTTAATAGAAAAGGAAAACACAAATTATCTTTTTCTTATACGTCTTTTTTATTTAAACGATGTTACATTCTAATTCCAGCTCATTCTCAGTCTATGCAGCGTTAAAATAGTACATTTTCATATTGTGGAAAAAGAAATGATAAGTTATCGATCTACGTCTTTTTCGTTTAGACACCGTTATATTGTAATCCCAGCTCATTCTCAGTCTATTCAATGTTAAAATCGTTCGTTTTTATATGATAGAAAAGGAAAACACAAATTATCGTTTGCTTATACGTCTTTTTCATTTAAACGATGTTGCATTGCAATTACAGCTCATTCTCAGTCTATGCAATGTTAATATAGTTCGTTTTTATTTAATAGAAAAGGAAAACACAAATTATCTTTTTCTTATACGTCTTTTTTATTTAAACGATGTTACATTCTAATTCCAGCTCATTCTCAGTCTATGCAGCGTTAAAATAGTACATTTTCATATTGTGGAAAAAGAAATGATAAGTTATCGATCTACGTCTTTTTCGTTTAGACACCGTTATATTGTAATCCCAGCTCATTCTCAGTCTATTCAATGTTAAAATCGTTCGTTTTTATATGATAGAAAAGGAAAACACAAATTATCGTTTGCTTATACGTCTTTTTCATTTAAACGATGTTGCATTGCAATTACAGCTCATTCTCAGTCTATGCAATGTTAATATAGTTCGTTTTTATTTAATAGAAAAGGAAAACACAAATTATCTTTTTCTTATACGTCTTTTTTATTTAAACGATGTTACATTCTAATTCCAGCTCATTCTCAGTCTATGCAGCGTTAAAATAGTACATTTTCATATTGTGGAAAAAGAAATGATAAGTTATCGATCTACGTCTTTTTCGTTTAGACACCGTTATATTGTAATCCCAGCTCATTCTCAGTCTATTCAATGTTAAAATCGTTCGTTTTTATATGATAGAAAAGGAAAACACAAATTATCGTTTGCTTATACGTCTTTTTCATTTAAACGATGTTGCATTGCAATTACAGCTCATTCTCAGTCTATGCAATGTTAATATAGTTCGTTTTTATTTAATAGAAAAGGAAAACACAAATTATCTTTTTCTTATACGTCTTTTTTATTTAAACGATGTTACATTCTAATTCCAGCTCATTCTCAGTCTATGCAGCGTTAAAATAGTACATTTTCATATTGTGGAAAAAGAAATGATAAGTTATCGATCTACGTCTTTTTCGTTTAGACACCGTTATATTGTAATCCCAGCTCATTCTCAGTCTATTCAATGTTAAAATCGTTCGTTTTTATATGATAGAAAAGGAAAACACAAATTATCGTTTGCTTATACGTCTTTTTCATTTAAACGATGTTGCATTGCAATTACAGCTCATTCTCAGTCTATGCAATGTTAATATAGTTCGTTTTTATTTAATAGAAAAGGAAAACACAAATTATCTTTTTCTTATACGTCTTTTTTATTTAAACGATGTTACATTCTAATTCCAGCTCATTCTCAGTCTATGCAGCGTTAAAATAGTACATTTTCATATTGTGGAAAAAGAAATGATAAGTTATCGATCTACGTCTTTTTCGTTTAGACACCGTTATATTGTAATCCCAGCTCATTCTCAGTCTATTCAATGTTAAAATCGTTCGTTTTTATATGATAGAAAAGGAAAACACAAATTATCGTTTGCTTATACGTCTTTTTCATTTAAACGATGTTGCATTGCAATTACAGCTCATTCTCAGTCTATGCAATGTTAATATAGTTCGTTTTTATTTAATAGAAAAGGAAAACACAAATTATCTTTTTCTTATACGTCTTTTTTATTTAAACGATGTTACATTCTAATTCCAGNTTTCCGTTTTTAAAAGCGCTATATGTTGAGCCACCTCATCTAGATTTGCCATGTGACATTTTTAGCAGCAATCTTTGGTCGATTTTCTAACGTTGCCATTCGGGGAGTTGTAATGAGGCTTTTTTGGGTGCCGTGTAAGAGAAATATATATATAGATTTTTGATTTCTCCCTTTAATGGAATCGTGAGAAAGACTTTTTCCCTCGACCTATTTAACAGACCAATTATGATTACTCGGTTTTCCCTCTTTCCCTAAAACAAAACATTTTTATGGATTTATTTTTGTAAGATTTTCCCCAACTTTTATTGAGGAGCACTACGATTTTGTGTCACTTGGACATTCATTCTCTGATTAAGGTGGTTAAATAAAATTAATTTGCTCTTTTTAAAATCCTGTGCCTGTTTTTCCTGCTCTCACAACTGCCACCATAAGATATATTTACAATTTTTCTTTTCTTTATTTTTTTAAGAGCATTGAGCGAAAATGGACATTGTTTGAATAAGTTTTAGAAAATAGTTGAATTAACCGAAAAGTATCGAATTTTAAAATGACATTAAACCCGGTTACATTTAGTGTTTTTTTTTCCTTCTAGTGTCACTACAATCATGGATCCAGTATTTGTTTCTATTCAAAATTTACTCATCAAAACGAAATCTATGAGTGTGCTGAGAGATGGTTTGCTATGGGTGAGATTATTTATTTATTTATTGAATTACAGTCGGATATCTATTAAATGAACTTCCATTTTGCGATTTTTTTTTTCGAAGAACCAACAATATTTCGGAAATTTCTGCTTGAATTAACTTCCAAATAGCGAAGTGAATTTTCTATTTAACGAACTTTTCTGTGAGATCCATTTTTCCTAATTTCCCATAGTTGTTTCCTAGTTTCCCATTTTTTCTAATTTCCCAGTTGTTTCCTAGTTTCCCATTTTTCCTAATTTCCCATAGTTTTCCTAATAAGTTGTTAACGTATTTTTTGTGGGTGAAGTGATTCTGAATTGATTTTTGAAGCCACTCAACTTTAAAAGAAGGCAGTAAAATCCTTTTCCCTTTTTATTTGCATTTTAAACGAAAAACTCAGTTAAAGTTAACGGATTTTATAAGTAGCAATTAAACTTAATAACACATGTGATAATGTACGTTTAAAATTACTTTTATAATAAATGCAGCTGTAATTTTATACATAAATTTAGTTTTTTTTTATAGTTTAAAATGTATATAGCATGATAGTGTAACACTGGATAATGTTTTGCTCTATTCTTGCTTTCCATGCAGATTTCTTCTATGGTTAAGATTTATAAAATAAATAGTAGATTACAAGAGAAAGGTGTCTCAATTGCTATTTTACTTATGTCTAATGTTTATTAATTTAAAACCTGTTTTGTGTTGTTTAAATATTTCAAAAAGGGATTTTTCTATTTAGCGAATTTTCCATATAACGAACTTATTATCTGGATTTAGTGACTTCTTTAAATAAAGGTCCGACTGTATATATGTTACAATGGTTGAATCGAATCTGAATACAGCATGGTTTATCTCTGAAAAATATCAACTTCCTCTACACTCACCCTTTCAGTTCAGTGGTCGTGTGAGCTGTATCTTGGCAGAAATGGCACTTTCTGTTGAATCATTATACCCAAAAGACTCATATGAACTCTACTTCCGGCTGAGTTTTACGCTTGAGCTTGAAAAAACACAGCATTCAATATTATTATACTTGTAGTGTTTTCAATGTAACATGTTCGTTCAATCTAACTTTCAGCGAAACAAACAACAAATAAATTCGGTAAACTCTACAAAGCTTGCTATCATGCTATCCAGAAAAATAACGAAGGGTACGATTTTACACAAATATAACCAAATAAGGGATAACACTCAAAACATAAACTCTTTACATAAAAAATTACAGAAAACTGTTACGAATGGTAAAATGACGCGTGCATTTAAACCCAAATCAGAATATGAAAACTTCCAAGAATATTAAGCATGTTCACGCATCGCCTCGTAAGCATAACATAAGCAGATGGTTACGCCCTCTTTTTGACAGTATTGCACTTGTTACAATTGTCCCCACCTACGGGGTCAATTGTAACAGTTCATAAATTCAACTAAAACATTGTTAATTATACATATTATCATAGTTGTGACACATTTTCTTATTGATCAAAATAGTAGTGTTATTTTAGGAGTAAAAATAATAATGAGCAGAAACCTAAAGGGTTAAACTTTTAACTTTAAGGGATTAAAAATTTTAACTTATGCTGTGAAAGGAGACAAATAAAATAATGCTCATGCAGCGTAATATAAATGATATAGTGGTGGTTCTTAAAGAGTTAAGTAATGGTTTGTAAACATAAGATTATTTATTTTCAGCTGTTACATTCGTCCCTTTACTTATTGTTACAATCGTCCCCAAGACGCCATTTCAGCTTCATTTGTTAAAAACAATGCTAGTTAATTCACAAAACTAATCTTTTTTTTTATTGAAATGTTAATTAAGGTGTCCACTTACATATTCGGTTAATAATTTTTATTTGTTTAAACAAAATTACTTTGTTGCAATATAATATTCTAATACCAAAAAAAAAGTACTTACGTAGCTTGAAAATATGTTTTGTGATGTAACTGTTTCAAAAGTACATAAAAATGGCTGGAAGCAGGGGTGTACATGTAGATTTATTAAATACACCTTGTGCAAAACCTAGGAACCAAATCCAGAACCCGACACTCGAAATTTTCGCTCTGTTACAATCGTACCCTGTTACAATTGACCCCACTCTCCCCTACCGATTTTTGGTGCAACGTGGCTCGGAATTTTTAACAGTGTAATCCCAAAGTCCCATTCTAAGCATATCTTCTTTTCCAGATCCCTTTATGTCATTTTACGTGGCTACCTTCTTCGTCCTTCTCTTTTCTTTCGGGTTCGGCCTCTATTTCGGTTGCCTCTACTATTTGAATGTATTTGTGGTTCCGGCCATTCCACGTCGAGAAGTGGACTCACTTCGAAATCACGTGGACTTGATCAGAGAAAGACGCAGAACGTAGGTAAGTCACTTATTTCTTTCATTCACACTCATACAATGAATGACACAATAATTAAATTTATTACTGTCATTTGTAATTAAGTTTTATTTTTAATAGACATAAATGAAGATAAAACAAAGGAAAATTACAGACATATGAAAAAAAATATGGAAAGAAAAATAATAATAATAAAATAACTGACAACTGGGGGAAAAAAAGGAAAAAAGTTTTTCAAAAAATCCGGAAAATAAAAGATATAATCTTTTCATCACCCCATACGATTATATCCGCCAAAAAATAGTGCTTTATCGTCGAATTTATATTATATATCATGAAATTTAACCAATTGATACAATCTCTAATTGATCAATTCAAATCTCTAACAAAAAGATCAAAATTAAGACATAGGATCAAAAAGAAAATACAAAATAATAAATATTTTTTTCGTGGAAATATATTTGGATAAACTTGTGGAATAAAATTAATTAAAATTTTAATTTAAAAAACCTGCTTTAGTTTGTTAATTACGAGGCAAAACTTCAGTTTAAAGCTAGAGTTACTTTCTGGCTAAAAATATTGACTGAAGTTTAAAATTGAAAACTATTTTAAATATTTAAAAAGTTTTTTGAAAAATCGCCAATTTGGTCGAGATTAATTATTTAAGATAAAAATCATTAAAATCAAGGAATAAATTTTCTTTTTTACATATTTTTATGGGTCATAGATGGAGTAATTTTTCAAATAATAAAAAATCCGAAACGTTTTTACTTCGCAATTTTGCTATCAATTTTACGTCTAATTTATTGACATTTTGCCCGTCTTTGTGATCAGCACTGGTTCGAGATTAAAATTGGAAGTTATGAATAACTGTTACCAATAATTCCAAACATTGCTCATTATTCATACAACGATAAGAGTCTCCTTAAAACAGCATTAACTGGAGGAGACTCGATAGCTTCTTCGATTTTTATCTAATCCGTTTGATATTAAAAAAAATTTAAAAGAATTACTTTTTTAAAAATTTTATTTCAGAACGTCGAGTAAGAAATTTAATAATTTCGTACAAATTATGTAGTTTGTCATTTAAAATTACACGATTTGAAATGATGAAAAATTTTGCATATCTAACCATTCAAAATTCGTTTTTAAAAAAATAAAATCAAAGGAAAATGCAAAATAGTAAAAAAAAAAATTTTCGTAGAAATTTATTTAAATAAACTTGTTTTATTATTTTGTGCAAAAAAAAGGATTGTTTTGAAAAGTTCAAATATGGTGAAATACGCCGATATGGTGAATACTCCACATCAGAGGGGCCCCTAAATCGAATAGAAGGTTTATTTTAGGTTTCCTTCTTTAATGAACTTTTTTTAAACAAAATATCAGTACAGTGCAAAATCCGTCTGTTTTATATTAGCTTCTTCATTAATCTATCGTATGAACACAATAAATCTATATTTCGTAAATGCATGGCTTTCTAGTGCGGAATTCAGCTAAATTTTCGCAATTGCGATGGACAAATTTGGCCAACCAAAAGCCTTGTCTTTACATATCGCAAAATGTGATAGGTTAACAAAAATGCAGGCTTCTGATTGGCTTAATTGAGTAATCGTCATTGCGAAAACTTAGCCGAATTCTGCCCTAATGTCAGCAAGGATATGAATCTTTCGCTGCTATATGACAAAGTTAACAATCAGAAAACTGCATTCGGTATGATGGACATAGAAATGTCAGAAAATCAATAAAATGGACATAACTATATTTCGTTAGACCATTAGAGGGAGGGGGACATTTATAGCTATTTTAGGTCCCAGTCAATTGTCTTGTTATATATCTATAATGAGGTGAAAAATTTAAATACCTCCATAAAGTTCGGTTCTTCATTACTGAAATAGTAAACCAGAGGGGGAGGGGGTGCCCAAAGAAATTTGTGCCCCGGTCCCCAATTAGGCTAAGTAGGGCCCTGAACAGAGTATAGGTTGGTCCATTAAAATGACAAAAAAATTGTTTCACTTCTGAAGTTACCTAAGATAATCTGCAAACTACTTAGATAACCCGAGCATTTTAACTACTAAACACTCGTTCATGTGAACGTTAAGGGATAAGATCTCGATAGAATTCATCAACTATTATCCAAGGAATCAAAAAGGGTTAGAAAATATTAGTACAATCTAGCAAATTGTCATGATGTCATCTATTTAGTTTTTCAGTATCTGAAGAATCAAGTCAATACAATCAACAAATAATTGAGTTGATAGAGTGATTGAAACAAATTTTTGAGCTTTAACATTACGGCAACCGTTATGTAGCATATTATCAAGGTAGAGTGCAGAAAACTCTTGGCTCCTCACTTTAATGGAGCAATTCAGTCTGCAGACTAGCTAGGTAATGTGCATATAATTGGTTTTCGAGCTTTAGCAGTAGCAAATATATATTTGGGATTTTATTTCTCCACAAAGATTTGAAAAATGTAAGTAATTACACTACCTGGTGAAAAGCATCCGGACACGTGGTAATGATGGTGGAAGCATTATGGTGTGGGGTGTTTCTCGTGGTTTGGCCTGGGTCCGTTAGTTCCCGTGGCTGGAAACATGAACTCTGAGATGTGTATGTGGACATTCTGGACAATGCTGCACCACCAACTCTATGGTAATATTTCGGGGAAGGCCCATTGTCTCTTCCAGCAGGATAACTGCTCCATTCACACATCGAGGCTTGCACAGAGGTGGTTTGACGAAACGGTTGGTCAAAAACTGGACTGGCCTTTTCAGAGCCCCGATCTAAATCCCATAGAACACTTTTGGGACGAATTAGAAGGCAGATGACGTAGCCAGGCCAAATAGACCCTCTTCACTGCAAGCACTCACTTAAGTCAATTCATATTCAAAAACTGTTGGAAAATCTTCCCTGAAGTGTGCAGGTTGTAACTGGATAAAGTGGCCAGATAGTGTATTTAGGGCGGTGACTTCGAATCACCCAGTTGACATTTTTTGTGTGTGTCTAATTTCGTGGTATACTGACATTCGATATGTTTCCCTGTTACAGGCAGCAGGAAATTGTGGAACGAATTTTTCGAAATTTCACTTTTAAACAAGGTAAAACCTTTTCTATTCATTGTTTTTGAAAATATTCTATTTCGCATAGATACATTTCAATTTTAATGCATTGCTTTAAGGCAACGGAGAGTTGTAATAAATCAGGGTGTAAACTCAACTCTGTAAGCAACGCAAATGACTCATTCTTGTGAACTTTAAGATTTGCATAGAAAATATTTAACCGAAAAGTGATCAATGTTAAGTATTTTGTGCGTAATAATTTTCAGTTGTCACTTTAAAAAAAATTGATTTCTATACATGGATTATAATTTTGAATGCAATAAAAACCAACATTGGCTGTGTTTTTCACTCTAAGTTCTACTGTTAGTCACAAATTTAACTGATGAGAACGCAATTAAGATAACTTAGGATACGCAATTAACACTTGAACGACTGATCATTTTGACCGAAAATCAACTTTCAGAGACGCTAAGTCCTAAAATAATTATACCAGCTTACTTGATCTTCGTGACTTTTACCAACTTTTTTGAGATCTTCAAATAATCATGTAAACTACAATACATCAATGTAAACTAGGAAAAACGGTCTGCATTTTGAGTACTATCCGTAACTAAGGAACAGTTAATAATCCTATAACAGGATTAAAAAACTATTACGATACATCAATGTAAACTAGGAAAAATGGTCTGCATTTTGAGTACTATACGTAACTAAGGAACAGTTTATAATCCTATAACAGGATTAAAAAACCATTACGATACATCAATGTAAACTAGGAAAAATGGTCTGCATTTTGAGTACTATCCGTAACTAAGGAACAGTTTATAATCCTATAACAGGATTAAAAAACTATTACGATACATCAATGTAAACTAGGAAAAATGGTCTGCATTTTGAGTACTATACGTAACTAAGAAACAGTTTATAATCCTAAAAATATCCCTGAAAAAGTAAGTATTTTAGCATGTGTGTGTTCCATAAATAAGCCGAATGCTAACGACGCGAACGTTTTTTAGAATGTGGCCAATTTTAGTTTTGCCTACTTTAATTTACTAACTTACATTACCAATTTTCTTGATTATTTTTTAAGCGAAGCTCTTCATAAGTTTCTCGAAAATCTCTTATTCTGAGCTTTGTCAACGAATTAAGATTGTAATTTTTTTCAACAATGAAACTACCAGCTTGCAGAATACTGAATTAATTAAACCATGTTTTATTTAAGTTGAGCTAAAATATCAGCATCTTAAACAATACAATCATGCGAATTTGCTACAGCTTTTAACAAGCTGTTAATTTGAACCATGTTCCCCTTAGTTTTATTTATAATATCGGTATCTTACTAAACCGTAACATCATCAAAATTCACCAAATAGACAGTATTTTTTATTTTATGAAATGTTATAGAGCAAACTTACGTAATACTTTAACGAGCCCTGAGATATACCCCCAATTAATAAAAGCGCATACAATAACGAACGTTTCCTTGTTTGCGAGAGAATTTCCTTTGTAACAAGCATTAAATTTTAACTAGCTATTTCTTATTTTGCAATTAATTTTATTTTAAATGCGACGTCATGTTTATCGCTTCAAATGATAAATCTCAAGACAAGGCAGAAGAGGAGAAAACGTTCCAATTTAGTTACATTCTTCCTAATTATGACGCAGTATTCTATGTTGGAATTTGGGAGACATTCGAATCGATTGGCGATTTCTGGTTTGGACTTGCATTCTTTGTTTTGTTGATTTATTGTGTTCCTTGCCAGAATACTTATTCGTGCAATCATCATTTTTTTTTTTTTTTTTTGCTTCCCTGATTGAAGAGTTTTTATTTATTTATTTGTTTTGCATCGAAGAGTTTGCTTTGCATTTTCTTATCATTAGAATCCATCAGGCACCTCCATTGCAATAACACGTAAAAGAAGACAACACTACATCGACCTTAATTATAAAAACATAAATATAG